GATTTTTCCGATATCGATATTGTTCAGCCCGATATATCGCCATATCGATTTTACATGCAATGATTTAAATCGATGCATGATATCGATACTTTCTTAAATATCGAGCATTCCTATCTGAAAGGAGACACTTCTTTCATGACATTCAATGTTCCGTCAAAATGCAACCATGACGAATGAAGTAAGGGAAAAATCACAAAATGCAAATGTCAAACCGAAGCAAAATTTCACGGGCGTGTGTTCGTCTCTGCAAACGTGGAACGGACGAAGCAGAAGCAGATAGGTGGACGTCGAGTTCAAGCACAGGAATAATTTTTCCGCGTTTTCAATTACAATTTAATTGCAGAAAGCAAGAAAAGAGTTTATATTGAGTCTCGCGCTTTCGCTATAAATTATCAGTGCATTATACCCGCTATAACAAGTGAACTTAAGTAAAATGAGTGGACCCGCAGCGTCAGCACCAGCCACGGCGACAAATAAGGACGGCGATTCTGCAGCGGCGGCACCAAAACGGCGTGGTGTCGTAAAACAGGTCAGTAGATAAGCTCCATACACGAAAATTTTATTGAATAATTGTTGCAGAATTTGGGGGAAGTAGCTAAAATTCAAGAATTTGGTTTAGTCGATTTTCGGTAAAAAAAAAGTAAAATCTGAATGAAGTTAAGGTAGCAGCGTGCTGACGACCAACGTTCACGCCGACTGCGCTACTTTAAGTGTGAGTGAGATGTGCTTATAGCCCCTACGAATGAGTGAGCAGTACAGGCATAACACGATATGTAAAATGAAAGTTTCGCGGAGGTGCCAACTTGGCAGATTTTTGAAGGGACCGTTGGAACTTGATTCAAGTACTAGGTTCTGCCTCAACAGCTTCATAAGTGGACTACACGCGATCAGCGGTATATATTCTATATAAACGCTTTAATACAAGGTTTTCTTTAGGAAACAATTAGTAATTGCCTATGTCGAGAAGCGACGCTGCTTTTGGCGTCAACGCTTCTGCAGCAGATGTCAGTGTTTGGCTGCTCGCCGCTTTCAGGTTTTGTAGTTTCTTTTATAACCTCACTTTCATTAGAAGTGCTTTGCCACACGTACATATTCCGTAGATTTCAGGACTTTTGATCTCTTATAATGTATATGTTTCACCAAGTATTAGTTGCGTTCCCCAACTTTTCTGAATAAAACCTTTAAAGGCAAAAGAGGCCACAGAACCGAGTACATGAACACTTTCCGGTAAATTCTTTCAACTTACGAGTTCGGGAACGTAACTTTTTTGACTTAATTAAAATAAAATTCCAAACATATGTATTTACAGTATCGGTCATATCTATAGCACGCCATTTCAACGAGATATTGTGTGCAACTTATGTTTATTTATGTATTTTTGAGAATTTTCAATAAAAATACAGTTCTTTCTCTAACAAACCCCATATAAAAACAAGTTTAACAATTTGTAGAAAACTTCAAAAAAGTGCAACAAATTTTCACCTAAATTTCAAACTTTTTTCTCAGAAGTGTTTGAATTTTTCTGAATACACAGTTTTATAGCCCAACCAATTTTAGTCTGATAATGTGCAAGTTTCAAGTTGCTAAAAGTTACCGTTGATTTTTTAGAATTTTTTTCGCCAACGGTGTTGCGGATTTCTTCCATATACAAATAAATTGAGTTTATTCATTATATGGAAGCCAATGCGACAAAAAAAATTCTAAAAAATTAACGGTAAATCGTAGCCACTTGACATTTGCCCATTATCAGACTAAAATTGCAGTGGCTAAAAAACTGTGTACTCGAAAAAATTCTAACACTTTCGAGAAAAAAGTTTGAAACTTAGGTGAAAATTTGTTGCACTTTTTTGAAGTTTTCTACAAACTGTTAAACTTGGGTTTATATGGGGTTTGTTAGAGAAAGAACTGTATTTTAATTGAAAATTATTAAAAATAAATAAATAAACATAAGTGGCACACAATATCACTTTGAAATGGCGTGCTATAGAAATGACCGATACTGTATGTATTTATGTTTTTTTTTTTTAATTATAATATCCATAAGCTCGTAGATACGAAAATCGAACAATGCACTTTCGTCTAAAATACAAGGATTCATATTTAACGCTGGGATTGACATTTAAATACAGTGCAGTTTGTGAAAACTGCAAACAAATACCAGTAAAGAGCGAAATACACCACACAAGCGGCTTGTCAAACATTCTTCAAACCTACTTTTCCCATTTCGCCATACACCATGCAAACATGACTCGTTCAAGCAAAGAATTTTAGTTTTCTTCCAGTTCGCAATGCTAAATATTATGGTTTTCTTTCATTTTCCTCTCTTACGTCCTTACTCGGTGAAAATTTCGTTGCGAATGAGGCGATTTTGCTATACACAACGCAAGCGGTTTGATCAAACATCAACATGGCGGCCAGAAAATCAAAAAATTTTGATTTTTTGCTCAAATTTCCCTCAAGCGGCTTGTCAAACCTTCAAGCACCCCCATACACAGCACAAATGGCTTGAAGCAAAGGGAAATTTCGCTTGGTTTGTCAAACCGCTTGTGTGGTGTATTTCGCTCTTAAGGTGTCGCCGACGTGGGCACCCTAATAGACACATGTGCGCGGCGGAGCCCTCTGCATAAAGCAACCTCTGGACCCAACAGCATACTGACAGGCCATAAACGGCATTTACAGTGAGTCAGTATTGACTTACACTGACCCGACCTGTGAATACTGTTTTGGGAACATATCCACCTGACGTGGACCAGATAGAGCTTCGCCTGCCACGAAAGACTAGCACAACAATAGCCCGACTTCGCTCTGGCTGCTGCAGCAGGCAAGACTCGTTCCAGAGCAGATTAGATGCAGATGCATGCAACGAGTGCCTGGTATGCGAAGAGACACCCACGACTAGAGACATCTTTGCATGCCCCCTAAACCCCACTTAGCTAACTCCCTGCCCTATGGACCAACCCAATTGATGAACTTGACAACGATTGAGGGACAAGTCAGGCAGTCAGTCATAGGCAGGGTTGAGTAGCCGCTACAACAACAACAGTACTAGTTTATTTATGAGATTTTAAGCTTCTTAAATAAGTAAGATTTCTTTTGCAGTACTGTTGAGAGTCGGGTCTTATGAATAAAAAAAAGCATTTGCTTTTTCTTAAAATTTGAGACGTTGTACTCGATTTGTTCAAATAAATTAAGTAAAAGGTCTGGAATTTTAAGAAAAAGCATTTCTTAGTTTTTATCATACCCCACATTTTCTGTGTAAATTAATACCCAAACTAAAAAAAATTAAAAAAATGCCCTTATTCATAAAAAATAAAGTAGCTTTATAAAATGTTTACAAAGTGAAAAATGTATGAACATGCCAATTTATAAAGCTCTTTAAACCTACCTTATTTTTTATGAATAAGACCAAAATACTTTAAATGCTTTATAAATCGAAATTTTGTATGAAACTGTCTTTTTATAAATCTCTAAATTATTTTATTTAAATTTTCTAATAAGGGGTGTGTTCGACCTGCAGTAAGTGCGACAGTTTTAGGCTGAGTTACAAGTTGCATCAACGCAAATCATCATTCCCTTTTGTTCCTAAGCTATAACTGATCGAAATGTCCAAAACGCGCAACCACGTTCAAATGCCAAATTGATAATTTCCATCAATTATAGATTAGAAATAAAAGAGGCTGATGCTTTGCGTTGATACAACTTGGAAGTCAGCTTTACATACTTTTTATGAATGAGCATCAAGTTCTCCGCGAAAATCTGAGCACTTTGCCTCCTACATCACGCGCTCGAATATAAAAATGTTAGAAGATTGCTAGTTGAGCATCAGCAACAAAGCATCAAAAAAAGAGCAAGGTTACATATTGCAGTATTTCACCTAGCTGGAACACATCCAATCCATAAAATTTATTCATATCTAATACGGCTT